TGTGTGGGAAGGTTTTTTCTTAGTGGGAGGCGTTGACATTGAATTTCATATTGGGTTTATTTTGTTTTACTAAAAGCCCATTTAAGCTCCGTGCATGAGAAACACATTGGTCTAATTGAAGTGGTGAATACCTGTCTGGAAAGTTCTAGTCTTACATGATTCAAAGAGGAGATAACTTCACAACTATTAACCTTAGGAATGCCTTAATTGAACAAAGTCGTAAAATGCAAAAATCAAACATTTTTAAACATGGTAAAGTCCATGTTCAGTTATTCATCCTTGTCAATATCATTATGGGGAGATCCCTAGGAGAATGCAATGTACCTTCTTAACTTGGTTCCATCAAAAGTCTGTTATAAAAACACCTATAGAATTATGGAAAGGATGCAAGCCCAGTTTAAATCATATTCAAATTTAGGCACACATTTTACAACAGAGGTCAAATAAAGATGGAATCGTATACAAAAATGTATATTTTTATTGGCTACCCTAAGAGAACCTGGGGTTGGATTTTCTATAGTCCAAAGGAAAAGAAGGTCTTAGTAAGCATTCATGTGACTTTCTCAGAGGATGACTATATGGAAATTATAAGCCTATGAGTAAGGTTATTCTTGATGAAACTTATCTCGGTTCAAGAATTTTCAGAATCTCTAAAAGCTCCATCCTCTTTTCCCTTGATTATTCAAAGAAGGGAAGAATATACCTCTAGGTGAACAAACACACGAACCATAATTGAAAATTCAACATGATAATATATAAGTGGAACTAGTAGAAATATTAGTATCACATGTAGAAAAACAATATCAAAGAGTGGTTGACAGATAATATGTGGATCCTCAAGAAATTGAAGATCCATCAAATAAACCAAACTTGGTTGTACTTATAGATACACAATGTCTAGTGCGATACATTTGTAGTGGGAGAGAACCTTGTCAATCCTCAAGTTATCTTTTGTTGGTTGGTATTGATCCCACTAGTTACGATAACGCACTAGAAGATGTTGTTGTTCAAGTGTGGCCCAAAGCTATGAACCTTGAGGTAGAATACTTATATTTCAACTTTATTCGATCTCTGGTAAAGGTATCAGGAGGGATAAGACCCACTAGGTGTAAGTGGACCTACAAGCAAAATAGAGAACATACGGGAAGGTCAAAACCTTCAAAGTTAGATTGGAGGAAAAAGATTACACCAATAGAAGGTGTGGATTATGCGAAAATATTTTGCCAGCGCTATGCTTAAGAGTATCTAGGTTCTTTCAGATACTGCTATAAGTCTCAATTGTGATATTTAATTGAGATTTGGTAGATAGATGTTAGAATAACATTTTTGAATGAAAATTTTAAAAATGATATATAAATGCAACAACCAAAAAAGCTTATAGCCAAAGAGCAGGAACACACGATATGCAAGTTGTGAAATTCCATTTTATAGACTTAAGTAAGCATCCAGATCACGGAACATTAGGTTTGATGAGGTTATCAAAAAATTTGATTTTGAGAAAATATTGATGAACAATGTATGCATGTATGTAAAAAAATCCAACGGGGAGGCAATAGCTTTTATGGTACTTTATGAAAATAATATGCTCCTTATTAGAAGCAACTTGGAAGTACTGATAAGCATGAAGAGTTGGCTGAGTAAGCATCTTGATATGAAGAACATGGGGAAGCCACTTATATTCTTGGTATAAAACTTCTATGAGACCGGAAGAATAAGTTATTGGCATCACCTCAAGCTATTTACATTGACAAAATTGTTGCCAAAATTCAACATGGGGAATTCTAAGAACGGAATCATGTCCCCTAGACATGAAATTCATCTTCCTGAGGAACAATCACTAAAGACTTATGAGAAGTAAGAATGCATAAATAGGATACCTAATTTATTGGCAATAGGTAAGCTCATGTATTCCATGTTGTGCATTAAACCAAACATCTGGTACACAGTGGGAGCAGTGAGGCGAAATCAATCTGATCCTAGAGGAACACTAGATTATTGTTAAGCATGTACTCAAGTTTTTTCGGAGAACGAGAGATTATATGCTAGCATACACTAGTAAGAGTATCGAAAAACCTTAGATTTCACAGATTCATTTTTTCAAGTGGATATTGACTCAAGAAAATCGATCTCGAGCTAAAAGGTTTACACTAAACCAAGATAACCTTAGAGGTGGATCTTGTAGACCCAATTACTAAGAGTTTTCCTGTTACTTCTTTGGGTCTTTGTGTTGAACCCTAAGGCTACTAAGGCTAAGTATTTTGAGTTTTGATGTTAACAAAGCACCTACAGACTCAACATGAAAGCACAACTTGGAGAATATTGCAATAAGACTCAAATGGTGTTAAAAGACCAAGACAATATGCAAAAGTGAAGGGATAAATTAAAATGGAAAAGTCAACCCTAAAGTCAAAATTTCAAAGTGAAACAAGGCTTTAAAAGGTTCAAAGCTTGAAGTAAAGTTAAGATAAAGGCTCTCATAGGCTTATACTTTTTGATATATCATTTTTTAGCATAGAAACTTAAAGAATGATTATATTGAGCTCTATCTACAAAGGAATGCATTTATAAGTCATATACTTACATTATAAGAACCTACATACTTGAACCATGCATACAAAATTGCACACACATAAAAACTTATTAGAAACATTCATTCTTGTATTAGAAGTCATTAGCAATCATTTTAATTGATTTGCATACTTTAGGAGAAAAACTCAATACACTTCTATTCTCCATTTTTTCTTTGATATATTTTGTAATTGTAAATGTAGAAAGGTTGTTCTATATCTGTTTGAAGGTTGTTTGTTGCTGTAATTTATTTTGGTTAAAGGGATTAATCCTATAGGTGTATAGTTTAAGAGATTGATCAAGATTCTTGTTAAATTTCATGTATTTTGCTTTCTCAAGCACTAGCTTGATGTAGCCCTCTAGTGCTTTAAGGGTGAGATAAGATAAATATTGGTATTTGACCTTTTTAACCTTTATCTCTTTAATTTCCGCTGTTGATTCCTTGTTTATGGTGTTTATAACTCTTATTCGAATCTGTTTTTGGGTTGGTAAGGGTTTGATTTATAATCTCTCACATTTTCTAGAGGTTTCTTAGTAAAGGGGCTTGAAAAACTAAGTTTCTTGGAAAAGAAGTAATCATAATTCACCCTATCTTGTGGTATTTTAGCCTTTCTTATTTTACACTTAGGAGGATCCCAACTTCTATTAGGTGAGCGATAAATATTATGCCCATTGTGCTCTTGGAGTAAGACAATGAAACCATGTAATCTTTTTATGAATTTTACAAATCAGGTACTATTCATTATTTTGTGCACACAATTTACAAACATTAAGGTCCAGATCAATTGTGGAATATATGATCGTTTGGATACATCCATGGAGGACATGATCATAGGTTGTCATAATCAATCAATTGGTTTATAGTTGTTAAATAAAGTTAGGTGCTTTATATTGGCTGCAATATTTTATGAAATAGTTTCGCCTGAATCATTGTAAAATATTGTGTGAATTAACATTCACAATGAAAGGATTAAGGAGAGATTTGATTAACTTTGCTTTTTTATAGGTATCAAATCTCCAGTTAACTATAGTTATGTGATTGCTCTTAATTCTGAGTTTATTATAAATAGGTAATTAAATAATTTTTATTATTTGATTTATCAAAGTGATGTTCGATCTATTTACGGTCAATAACTCGATATTTTGGGAGTGAGATTATTTGATTATCGGTATTTATGAAATAAACAACATGGAATTCGTAGGAAATGTCACCTTGATATGTTTCAGTACTTGGATATTTACGCACTGTCAGTGCATATAATCCATTATAGAAACTATCACAATCAAGAGAATAAATGATTGATTGAGTAACAGGAAGCTCATCAGTCAATTATTGACATTCTACAAAGGGATTATGCATATTCGTGTTATATGTATCATTAATCTTGAGTTCAAGTTTGGTAATTAAGAGTTGCCTGTGGTAATTGAGAGCACGCCTGCAAAGTTATCCATGAAATATTGTGCGTATGATAAAGGTTGCCCGTGACGCGTTAGGGCCATGAAACCAGTGTTTGGTGAATATTGGAAGATGACGAGATGGGGTGGAGATCACAATTGTTTGAATGAGCACATTTCCCAGGGACATAGACAGCTCGATGCGGACGTTATTGCAGATCTCGTCATAGGTACGTATTTATTTATTTGTATGACATGTCAACGTTTACGTACTGCTGTGTAATTAAATTCGTTCGATGTTATCGAGTCTGGGACCTCTTCAATGCAGGGATGATAAAGGAAGAACCATATGTGTCAATCTCTTTGGTGCAAGAAATGATAACATCTAAATATGGCTTTAAAGTTTTGTACAGAAAGGCATGGTATGCGAAGCAGAAAGTGATGGCAATTATGTACGGTGATTAGGAGGAATCGTATGCATTTTTGCCAAGGCGGTGCGATACATGCTTCGCTTTTCTCCAGGTTCATTTTATCATATCCAAACAAATGATCTTTATGCGGAGCAGAGCTTAGTTACTGGAAAAAAGGTGTTTCATTGCATATTTTGGACGTTTAGACAGTATTGTGAGGCGTTCAAATTTGCCAAACCCATAATACAAATTGATGGAACACATTTATATGGGAAGTACAAAGGAAAATTGTTGGTGGCCAGAGCCCAAGATGGTAATAATGAATGTTTACCGATTTCTTTTTCCATCGTTGAAGGAGAGAACTTGGAAGCATGGGACTATTTTCTTGTTAATATTCGTGCTCATGTTACTGACATATCAGACATATGTTTGATCTCCGATCGGCATCGTAGCATAATATCTGCTATGGAGAATAACCCTAATTGGCAGCCACCAAATGCATATCACGTCTTTTGTATTCGTCATATTGCAAGATACTTCAATCAAAAGTTTCATCAATTTTAATCAAGAAGTATACAGATAGTATAAGCTTAAATCATTAGCGAAATTTTATATGTTTAATTTCCCTTACCGGAATCCATAAAGCGTGCCTGGCTCTGGATGAGGAGGAAACGGCGGAGCAATGGGTGGGAATCGTATCCATGCCCAAATCTGAAGGAGAATATGACAAACTCCCATGTCAGATCGACCGACATCTGTCAATTCACACAAATTCCTGAACAAGTGTGACAGAACCGCAGATCCCCAGCTGAATCGGTCGATCTCATCAAATCCTCCCCCAAGCAACGGGACTAGCCGACAACCGAAATTGCTACCTCCAGACTTGTCCGCCAGCAACCAACACCCCAACATCCTGGCAATGTGCACCTTTGTGAAGTAGATCTCGACATCATGATCCCCGGCATGATCAGTCCACCGAGTATATAACCGATCTAAGAATGAGATGCGGAGGTCGCCTGAATGATGGAACTCATTGGCCTGTGGGACCACGCCAAATACAGCCCCACAAGCAGCGGGCCAATCCTCGGAGGTAGATCCGGTGACGACAATGCCGTCAGTAGGCAAGCCCAATATGCCTGCCACATCTTGCAAGGTGATAGTCATCTCACCTTGGGTCATGTGGAAAGTATGTGTCTCTGGTCTCCACCTCTCGACCAAAGCACTAATTAAAGGGGCATCGATATGTGATAAATTATGCAATTATCACGTGTTAACGAATGGTATTGAATAATTACATAAATACAAAACGACGTAAATTTCATACCTGGATATGTCCCATCCGGGAAACATGTATAAATCCAGCCTGTGTGAAGTAGTCTGCGACAACCTCTAGGATAGCGCCGGTAGGTGGCCCCCCCTGTGGCTTCCCACGCCTGGTCTTTATTTTCCTGACATGCTCTGAATTCCACACTCGCTGTGAAATATGGGCACGCTGCGTCCTCTTACGAAGGACGTCCCATCTGTAAGGCCCAGGTATGATGTACATGTTGGGATCGGTAGGCTCTACATCCGATGCAGAACCCGAAGAAGATGATGAATCAGCCATTACCCAAAACTATATCATATAAAACAACATTGAAATTAATCACATGTAATGCCCCATTTTATTTACAAATTAATTAAGCAATGCCATAATTTATTATCACAAAAATTAAGCATACAGTCATTTATTTAACTAGAATTGAAATTAATGAAATAATGTTAAAATGTAGTACAATCATTTATTTGCAATTAGAAATAATAATAAAACATCGGACAAAAATAATATCATACTTACAGAATACTTAACCCTAGGTCACGAATAACTTCATAAATATGTACTAATCATCACACCAAACTGACTACAAAATTATCAATACACTCCTGCATTAATAACATCATACAAAATTTACGAAAGTCACTATTGTAACACCCTGTATATATCCGATTTGTTATCATGTCATCGTATTAAGCCACGCTTAATTTAAAAATTCGAAATATCTTTTTCTTTTCAATTATGACGTCATTATCAATTACCAGCTTGATTACTTAATCATTTTTCAAAACATCGCCTGTATGTAAATTGAAAATAGACAATTATCTACACTGAATAACCTCATAACATATATAGGTGAGTATCTAAGTCACGGATCTACAACACGTAGTCCGGACAAAATCCTGATACATTATTAATTACAACACCAAAACTGAAAGCGTAAAGTCAAGTCAATGTGGCATGGACAATCCCCATGCTCACCCAATAAACAACATAGTCAACAAGGTCTCAACGAGGTAATCCATAAATGAAGCTACATCATAAAGCAGTAAACAGGATCCAGCATCCAAGTATAACAGCAAAACAACATAAGCAGCATAAGCAGATATCATTAATCAACTAAGCTATGGCCTCCTGCCACTAGAGGTCTCAACCCCCGCATTACCTGAACCTGAAAATGGTGCCCCAAACGTGGGGTGAGATCTCTAAAAAGAAATCTCAGTAAGACAAGGGGTCCTCAAGGATCTTCCACCCCAAGCTCACTTACATGTGCAATATAAGTTCAAAAGCCATTTAACAATATAAGTTCCAAAATAGTGCAATCAACAGATAATCATGTCATGTGTGTTTGTACTATTCTACTGATCAAAGAAGTGCAGGAATACGTCTATTACCCATACAGTATCAGCCCATGTTGTACCAGCCCATGTTGTATCCGCCCACAGGATCGTCCCATGGCCTCCTATGTACCACACACATATCATAAAGCATTTTCACTTAACAGCTCCATAGCATTTCAATAAAATAGTACATGAAAACACATCATGCATATAACCATCCCCCCATGGGACATGGTGGAACAAAGAATGGCTAAACCGAGGACACGAAAGCTTACCTCGCAAGCTAACTATCCAAAGCCAAGAGTCCACACAGTTCAAGGTCCACACACAGCAGTATCACAATCTGTTTTGGGACCAGCAATCATATTAATAACCATAGCTCATAAGCATAAACATAAAGACTATATTTTCATTTTACGTTTTACGTCTTTAGGCTTCTCACAAAGCCACAAGCCTCACTTGATTCTGACTTACACTAATTATTACAGAAGTTCAACTTCATCTAGGGTCCACTAACCCCGAATAGCCTTCTGTATGAACAGTGCAGCTACTGTTCTTCGAAGACCCAGAATATCCGGATATCTGTCGGGGACATATCTAGATATCATATCCGGATATCATATCTGGATATCATATCCGGATATCATATCCGGATATCCATATTCGGATATCAAAAGAACCCATATCCGGATATCTATATCCGGATATCATATCCGGATATCCATATCGGATATCCATATCCGGATATTTCGTGACAGAATGCAGTTTCTGCATTTCGCGAAGATATCCATCCAAGGTTCCATTTTTAACACTTCCAAACGTCAAAGCATGCATTTTTACTCTGTTCAAGGTTCATATATCAGTTGGTTACTTGTTTAACTCCTTAAATATACCAAGACACCTCTTTTAAACATCAAAACACATGATCAAGGTTGAGTCACTTTCCCAAAGCTTAAAACAGAATAAAAGGTTGCTCTTGGAGCTCACAACCAGCTCCCAAGATTCTGACTTCCCAAGGAAAACGAAAATGATTCTCAAGGTTGGTTCTTTCACCTCAAAGGTCACTACTTGGACCTCTAAATGCCATGACCATGGCTTCCCAACACCCAAACCACACAAGGTCAGCACCCTCACCAACTCACAGTGGCTGGAAAATTAGGAAATAATTCCATAATTGACCCTAATAATTACTATGAGGCTCTAATAATTATAGTAAGTGAGTAATAATGCTGAAAGTCGCTTTTCTGATGAAAAGTACATATACCGGTTCTGCTAGTCGGTATAAATGCGTACCGATAAAGTATCCCATAAAATTATAATAAAAGCATGAATATTCCTAGAATAATATGTAGGACTGTGTTTTCAAGTTTCAAGTTAAAATAATGGAAACTTGTGCCATAACTGATACTGGCTATGGAAAAGCGCGTACCAGAAAGGTGCTGTTAAAAAATAAAATAAAAATGTTAAATCCTGTAAAATTAAGTAGGTTCAGAATCCTGAGTTTGAGATTAAAATGCTAAGCGTAGCAATTAACGTTAATACTGTGTTAAGGTTTAAATGAGCTATATATATATATATAACATTTCTGCACAAAACCCTAGGCCATACACTCTTCATACATGGCTTTGGTGGCTGACCAGCATTCCCTCATTGCTCCATTGCCTTCCTTCCTCCATTTCTTGAGCTTTGAGGCATATTCCTTCATGAAAACTTCTCCTAAACACATGTGGTGAGTGAGAGTGGGCATTGGGAGTGTGTTGGTGGCCTTATTAACTTTCTTAATTAATGGTGCGGGTTCTTACATTCACCCCACCTTTTTAGGATTTTGTCCTCAAAATCAGAATATACCTGTCTCTGAAGTCGGGATACGGCCGGAGAAGCTCATCCTCTCACTCTCAGGTACACTCTTTAGGAGTTCTTCCTGTCCATTGCACTTTGACCATCGGAAAGATCTTGCTCATCAGCTGCTTCTCACCACGATCGAGAATTCAGAGTTGTCCGACGGGAGGTCTCAAGTTCTCCCGAACCTCCACATCATCCGGTTGCACCACGTGCGAAGGATCCGCTACGTATTTCCGCAGCTGAGACACGTGAAACACGTCGTGGATGTTGGCTAGGTTCGGAGGCAAGGCAAGCCGGTAGGCAACAGGTCCTACTCTACCAAGGATCTGGTATGGCCCAATAAATCGCGGGCTCAGCTTCCTCACTCCGAGTGCCCGTCCAACACCGGTGACAGGTGAAAGTCTCACAAACACGTGCTCAACCTCACTGAACTCCAGTGGACAATGCTTGACATCGTAGTAACTATTCTGGCGATTCTGCGCCTGCTTCAACTTTTTCCTGATCATCTGGATCTGCAGGGTGGTATCTTGGACAAAGTCCAAGGCAAACAAGTCACGGCCCCCAACCTCCGACCAGTAGGTAGGTGTAGGACACTTCTTACCGTACAACGCCTCATAGGGTGCCATGCCCAGGCTAGCATGGAAACTGTTGTTATACGAAAACTCAACCAACGGAAGGTACCTATCCCATGCCGAGCCCTGCTCCAACGTGCAGGCCCGAAACATGTCTTCCAAGGTCTGGATAGTCCGCTCTGTCTGTCTATCAGTCTGATGGTGATAGGATGTACTCAGTCTCAACTGAGTTCCAAAAGCTTCCTGCAGCGCCTCCCAGAACCGAGATGTGAACTTCGGGTCCCTATCACTAATGATACTCTCGGGCACCCCGTGAAGCCTCACAATCTCGCGAACATACAGTTTGGCCAACTGCTTTGTAGTGAAGCTCACCGTCACTGGAATAAAATGGGCAGACTTTGGCAACCTGTCCCCAATGACCCATATAGAGTCGCAGCCAACCTGAGTCTTCGGCAATTCCACCACGAAGTCCATGGAAATGCTCTCCCATTTCCATTCCGGAATCTCAAGAGGTTGAAATTTACCAGACGACTTCTGGTGTTCTATCTTCACCTTCTGGCAAACTAAGCACTTGGACACAAAAACAACAATGTCCTTCTTCATGCCCGGCCACCAATAGTTCCTTTTCAAGTCTTGGTACATCTTTGTAGCACCAGGGTGGACAGTAAACTGGCCCTTATGAGCCTCTGCCATAACCTCTTCAGTCAAAAGACCTCGAGGAACCACAATCCTCTTCTGAAAGGTCAACAGTCCATCCTCGTTCCAAGACACACCGTCTTGGTTCCTCACATAATCTAGGCACTCTCTGCACTTGTGTCTCTTTGATCATTTCCATGAGCTCATTCTCCACTCGTGCGATTTCCATTTCGAGAAGTGCACCACCAAACAAAGAGGTCACTAACAGAACTCGAAACTGCTCAATGATATCGTAATCGCCCATGGTCAAACTAGATAGACTCACGGATTTCCGACTCAAAGCATCAGCTACCACATTGGCCTTGCCAGGATGGTACTTCAAATCAAAGTCGTAGTCCTTCAGATATTCCATCCATCTTCGCTGTCTCATGTTCATCTCCTTCTGATCAAACAGATATT